CAAGCAGTATAATTATCTGCATATTTGTATCTCTTGTTCTGCTCCCCAAGTCCCACAGATGGGCCCAGCTGGATACCTGCACATACACTGGGGTTCTGTTATAGAAGAGTAATCTTGAACTTTAGGGGACCTAAATCTGTTACAGTGAATGATAAGCATGCCTTGCCCTGTTGCTTTGAAGGGAAATACCATCTCCATCTTATAAGGCTATAAGCAAACCTACCCTTTGCTCTAGAAGACCCTATCTTTGTCTTTCAAGGTGGTCCACTATATAAACATCCTTGAAATGCAGAACAAGAGGTAGTCAGTGTCTCTGCTCTCAAAACTTCTAGAAATGCAGAGACCCAGGAAGAATTGTCATCTAATAACCAGTGTCCAAAGGTACATGCTGTCATTTCTGCCTAATTCCATGTGTGATAGTGAGTCATCTAACCTAGCCCATACTTAAAGGGAAGAAAATCAGAAAATAATTTTTTTTAAGTAGGTTCCACACTGGGCTTGAATTCACAACCCTGAGATCAAGACCTGAGCTGAGGTCAAGGGTCAGACATTTAACCAACTGAGCCACCCAGGCACCCCAGGAAATAATTTATTTTAGGTCCACAATTTTTTAAAAACCCACTACAATTAGCTTTTTCTTTTTTTTTTTTTTTTAGTAGCTCTGTTCTTTTCTGAGGGCCTCCTTGTTTACTTCTGTGCACTGTAAGTGGCATGAGGCATTTGGGCTCCCCAACTTCCTGAGGAGGGTCTGATTTTCTCATAGCTTTCCATGCCCCATATATATGCAGCCTTTTTATTCATTGTTGAATTTTGGGGGTATTTGTGACCTCAGTGCATAACTAGTGACATGCCTAAATCTTTAACTTTGTCCCAAACAATATTATTTTCTCTATTATTATCATACTAAGACCTGCCTTGTTACACTAACCTCTCTCAGAGAGAATTTTATTCATCTTTAGACTTTCAAAAACTGCACCTAGTTGGCATATGCCCAGTCTACCAGATTTTAGGCACCACTAAGCTAGAATGTAGTAGAAGGCACCTGCCAGTCCTCCTTCTCTGTGACCTCTCTGTGACAACTCTGTGACCCCTTGGTGACCAAGCTGAAGTTCTCACTCGCACCACTCTGTGCATCACACTAAGGTATTAATGCAAGTAGACTCATTCTCGCACCCTGCTGTTGGGCCCTACAGGTGCCAGGAGCAGGATACAGTGAACACAAACAACTGATGCCTAATATAACAGCCACATCTCTATTTTAAATACTTCCCACTCCCTATCCCTTAGGATAAACAGTCATAAGAATTTTATGAATTTTATGAAATTTGGAGAGTAGTAGAAAAGTTATTAGAAAAGTAACTAGCACTTTGTGAAGAATCTTAAGACTAAAAAAAAAAACCTGGAAATTTAGTAAAAGTATATAGCTACAATTCTGTTACCAAACGTTAGCTACCTGTTAAGTATATGCTTATAATTAAAAATAGCTAATATCAAGGTAAGACATGTGACTGTTAGTAACTCCAAATTTGATTAAATTCAGTATTCTTGTATACATTACAGTGAATAGTTATGCAGTTATCAACTTTCAGAATACAAAGAGAGAGGTTATTAGCTGTGTTCCAGATCAGTGGTTTTCAAACTGTGGGTTGTAGTGCATTTGTGTGATGAAATCAATTTAGGGAATTGCAACCACATTGTTTTTTTAAAGATTTGTTTATTTATTTGAGAAAGAGAGAGGAAGCACATATAGGGGAGGGGCAAAAGGAAGAGAGAAAGTCTTAAGCAGACTCTGCTGAGTGCAGAGTGAAACGTGGGAATGGGCTTGATCTCACAACCCTGAGATCAGGGCCTGAAACCAAGAGTAAGAAGATTAACCAACTGTGCCACTCAGGCACCCCTACAACCACATTATTAAAAAAATAAAAGGGAGCCTAGGTGGCTCAGTTAAGCGACTGCGGAGTCCCACATGGGGCTCCCTGCTCAACAGGGAGCCTGCCTCTCCCTCTGCCTGATCCACCCCCTGTTTGTGCTTGCTCTCTGTCAAATAATAAGTAAATAAAATCTTTAAAAAAAAATAAAAGACAGTAGAAAATAGGGTACATTGTCTTAAGGGTAAGTTCTTGTTTTGTGAAACTTCCATCTTTATGTATGAGGGTATATACTGGGTCACAGTATAAAATGTTCAAAAAAATTTGAAAGCCACTGTCAGAAAAATACAGTAGAAAGACTCATAGCTTAGTACCAGTAAATGTAAATGACTTTTTTGAAGAAACTAGTTTCTGACTTTGTGAGTTGTTCAATTTGTAGATGTGAAGAAAGCAAATCTCGGAGCAAGGATGATTATCAAGCCGCAGTGGAAAGATTAATTATGGCTGCTCGTATATCGGATCCAAAGCTCTTCATTAAGCACATGACCATCAATGTTAATAAGGAACAGGTTTATAGTTTGGAACATTGTTCTGCCCTGAAATGGTTGAAAGAGAATATGAAGTGGGCTGGAAAGGTTTGGCTTTTCAGTAACCATTAGTTAATAAAGGCTTTTTTTTTTTTAAGTTCAAGTAATCATTGTTGAAAAAAAAGGCAATAAAAATAGTTTTCACTATATTCACCTTTTACCTTTTATTGGTTTATAATAAGTTAACAGTTTCCAAACACTAAAAATTTAGATTGAAGTATGCAAATGGTTTTATCCACACTGAAAAGTGATTTTTTCAAATTACTTTTTGACTTCTCTTTACCTTAGGTAAGCCCTAAGTATGGTTAATTCCTATTTATTCTGAAATCTAAACAGTGGAAAATCACAAACTGAATATTGTACAGCATTTAATAAGAGTAAAGCCTAAAAGGGAAAGTAGGTGAGCAGGTAACTGGGGTTTTCAGATAAACCTTTAGGGGAATGAAATAAGTTTATACACGGTACAGAGTCTAAATCCAGTTTTACATCTGCAATCTAGAATAATAAATACTATTGAAAAATGATTCAAATACTAAAATTCTAGAGCACCTTCTGAGTTATACCAAACAATTTTAAATTACTGTCGAATAATTTTCCTTTAGTGTACCTTAGAATATATGTATTTTGGAAATTTGTAATTTGTTACATTAGGTATTACTAAAGAAAACTATTTTAAACAAATATACCACAACCTAAATACCCTAACAAGGACTGTTCCCAACCACCTTAGGAAGTTAAAACTCCTTTTCTCAAGTCCTTCTCCGGATCTGTAGCACTATTCAAGGTGATCATTCTCAATTCTTGATTTGATACTTTAAAACATAATTTAAAATCATTTAGAGAAAAAGTCTGAATAAGGTGAGTAATAAAAGAGTAAGTCGTGACTAAGGGGACTGAAAGTATTTCTTAAAGTTCTCAAAATGTGGTAATAGCATCACTGGAATAAGTATACCCTCCCAAGACTAAAAAAAAGTTAAATCCTAGCACTTAGCAAAATGCCTATTATCATATGATGAAATGTGAAATGAATACTATCAGAACAAGATATGGAAAGTGAAGCAGAGAAAAGGTAAAAAAAAAAAATGCTCACTTCTCTAGTATGAAGAAACCCAGTGACAATAACTGCCATTACTTAAATGCGGCACCTAGAAAATAGGTTTGGAGATTACTAGCATCAGTTTGAGGCGCCTTTGAGGACACTTATAAATTAGCCCTTCCTATAGATGGAAACTGAAAACCAAAGAAAGGGGTTAAAGAAATATGAGACCATTTAGACGCTGGTGGCCAAGAGGCATTTGGAAAGACTAAAATGCGAATGATGGTAAATTAAGCTTCTGGGGGGGAAAATGGGATTGGATGGAATGGATCACAAGTGACCAAATTGTCAGGAGCAAGAGCCTTTAGGGAGGGGGAACAAATGGAGGCGGCTTTCCTTTCTTCCTTCCTTTTCTTTTTCCTCTCTCAACAGTGCCAAAAGGTAGGGAAAAGATTGGTTGGTGCATATGCCTAATTTCATTTGTGGCCGTTCCTTGGGATAATCAAAGCCACAAGAGCAAAGTAAAGCTAAAACCCAAAAAAAGGGGGCGGAGGGAATGTTTACGGTTTGAAAATAGCAAGATCTCGAAGGGACCAAAGTCAAAAAATGTGAACTGGAGAAAAATGTTTAGGAATTAGCTATATTTCTGTAAGGAATGCTAAAGGGCATACTTCAATAAGACCTTTAAAATCTGGTGCTCTCAACTGAGAGCCGACCTAAGGCTTCAGCTCCGAAAGCACCGCGGGCGATTCGCAAGGCCAGCCGCAAGGCCAGCCTCACCCCCTCCCTGGACGCCAGGGCTGGGAGACGCGGGGCGGCCCGGCGCATGCGCGCGTCCCCCCTACTCCAGGCTCTGGCGCGTGCTCGGTCACCCTCTGCTCCCCGTCCTGTCCACCCCGTTCCGGTCAGGCCCCGCCACCTGCCCCCTAGTCATTTTCCGACGCCCGCCGGCCTAGCCCGTTACGTCTCGGAGTGATCATTCGCGTCTCCCAAAGCTTTCCGCGGAGCCCCCTCCCGGCCGGTCGGTAAGAAGGCTTAGGAGCAAGGGCTTCAGGGGAGCGGGGACAACAGCCGGGTTACCGGGGGCCCGCTAGGGGTTTCCCCCGCGTCCGGCTGCGCGCAGGCGCTCAGGGAGGAAGGCCGGGTACGCGTCGGCCAATGAGAGCGCAAGCTCGGCGCCAGCAGCGCTCCGGACTCACCCCGAGCGACCCGCCGCGGCCGGTGCCGGTGGGACGCGCGAGCGGTGCGCGCCCGACTGGGATTTCAGGGGCGGGGGCTCAGCGATCACTGCCTGTAGGAACCCGTCAGCTGGTCCAGTGGAGTGGGTCGAATGCAGGTGGGAACGCCGGGCCCTGCGGCTCGCTCCAGTTGGCAGGGCTGGCGCCCCGGTGCGCATGCGTCCCCGCACAGCCCGGCGGGAGTGACGATCCTTCCTCCTGACGGGGTGGGAGGTGGAGCAGGTCCGAGGCATACCACGCGGCAGACGCTGGCCGGAACTGTAAGGAGCGGGAGGGGAGGGCGTCCAGTGGTGCTGTCGGGCTGCTCATCGCGGAAGGAGGGGTCCGGGCGGGCAGCTTGCAGAGTCACCTTAGGTCGACATGATAACTTCTGAACTGAAGCGATTCCAGGGCCCGGAGTATACGCGCCGCATCTGTTTTAACTTGTTTTGAAATGAGACACCAAAGACGGTTTAAGTTTGTTTCCGACTATAATGTTTACCCGAAGTCCTTACTTTTATCATAGAAGTGTTGTGATTCAAACCTCATAGCTAAAGATTTAGGACGGAAGCTTAAAGAACCTACAGGTACTTTGCTGTTGCCATAATTTATTAATTTATTTAATAGAACTTCCTGCTTTGCTTTTTCTTTGTCTTTTTCGCTTCCCTGAGTAGTCAACTGAAAAGCAATGAAAAATTGCCTGCTTTTATTTCTCCTTGACGGAACAAACTGCTTTTTTAAAAACCTTGCAGTATAGTTACTAAGATAAGTCACAGTTTAAATGAGAGTAGCCTGAGGATATTAAACTTTGTTAAAATAAGTTACTTTCAAATAAAAATTACGCCAAATGGCTGAAGACCAATCCTAGAACCTTTATTTAACAATCACTGTTACTGGGCGCCTGGGTGGCTCAGTTGGTTAAGCAACTGCCTTCGGCTCAGGTCATGATCCTGGAGCCCTGGGATCGAGTCCAACATTGGGCTCCCTGCTGGCTCCCTGCTCGGCGGGGAGTCTGCTTCTCCCTCTGACCCTCTTCCCTCTCGTGCTCTCTGGCTCTCATTCTCTCTCTCTCAAATAAATAGAATCTTTAAAAAAAAATAAAATAAAAAAAACACTTACTATTTCTGTATCTATCAGAGGTAAGCAAAATCGTTTTTCTTTAAACAGCCCATAATTTGGCTTTTCCACAAATTAGATACCTCTTTCTCCTAGATTTGATCTGAAACTGCATAGATTTAATGCCTCAGCACAGAGTTTAGGTTAAAATCAGATATTTTCACTTTATGAAGTAAAAGCTAATATCCCTATTAAGTGGATGACAGTGGCCATTTAAGATGGTTTGTAAATGAATTGTGACCTTCCTCATCTTCCAGCCTCAATCCAGAGTTCTCTATCTCCTTGGAAAAGACCTTCCAAATCCCCCTCCCCCCCCATAATGCTCAGTGCATGGCTGTATTATTAACTATATTTTATAATTACCCTTATTTTTCCATTCACTCCATCTTTCCTAAACTAAATTTTTGGACAAGTGGGATTGGCTTAGTGTTTTTTTATTCCCGGTACTTTGCACAGAGCCTGGCACATAAGAACTTGGCAAATGCCTGTTGATAAATTAGGTGAATTAAGGACCCAGAGTGCCTCCCTGAAGAGTTAGTTATTTTATAGCATGCCTGAGGCCTTTTCCAAATGGAATAGTAGGCTACATGGAATTTGTTTAAGAACCACCCATGTAAAAATTTGTCTGAAGACAAGAACCCTGCAGTTGACCTGGGTGCCCCAGGCTTTCAGACTGTTTCTCACTAGCAAGTGGGAGCACCCAACTCTGAAGCAGTGGATTTTCAGTCTGCTAAAAGTCATTTTGACTTTCAGGGTAGCTAAGTCCTATAAGGGAAAGAAACAGATCTAAGTCGTCTTGTTGGCAATCACATTTCACATGGTAAATTTAACATTGGGCAGTTATTAGTCAGGCCCCTTATAATTTTGTTTTCCCTGAGGCCTGTGTATTTCTGGCTAGAGTGATGAAGTTGGGTTCTTGGTCTTGCAGAGACAAGGACTGACCCAAGCAGCCACATGAAAAGGCAAGCAGCCATGCCTACCAGAGGGCTGAGGTTTAACCTTGTTTCCACTTAGAATTTTTTTAAGCTCAAGAAGTGGGTAAACCATACAGAAAACAAAAGAACTAGTTCAAATGAAACTTAAAATTATTTGATTTTTCACATACAATTGAGTATCCAGAGATATTTCCCTAAGTTTGTTAAAGAAGCATGTTTAATGAATTAAAATTTAAAAGTTTTCTGACACCTTAATCCTGTAAAATGATGAAATAAGGGTTCCCTAAACTTAAGTGTGCATCAGAATCCCAAAGGCATGTTAAAACAGATTGCTGGGCCCCACCCAGTTAGATTCTGCAGGACTGGGGCAGGCCTGGTCATTTGCATTTCTAAGTTCCCAGAGATTCTGTTCCCCTTTGACAACTACTGCCCTAAAGGATGTTTCCTGTTTCTTTTTATTTTGTTTCTTCCCTAATCCCTACCTGTCCAAAAGGATCCTGATCCCATCATACTTTCCCTGTCACTTAGTTGTCTGAGCCCACTCTTCAAGGAAAACTTAAAGGAAATGCTTAAAAAAACTCATAGGACTCCAAGGGGAAACCACATATTTCTTACCTGGTACTTCAGCAGAACCAGAAAAAATATTTTTGATTTAAATAGGAAACGATCATCTTAGAATAATAATTTTGTTGAGTGTATATCAGAATTAAATGAATTTTTTTATGTACATAGGCTTTTTCCTATAGAAATATGAGTTAGCCACCATTGGTGGGGAGAAGGGGGGATTGTTGGCAAAAGGAAAAGAAGTTCCATTTCCTCTCATGTTGTCTCCTCCTCCCAGTTGAGAAAACCACTTTATTAATTCATTAAAAAGGCAATTCCCACTGCACAATATAATTTTATTATTTCCAGTTCTCTTTTTTTTAAGATTTTATTTATTTTTTTGACAGACACAGCGAGAGAGAGAACACTAGCAGGGGGGAGTGGGAGTGGGAGAGAGAAGCAGGCTTCCTGCTGAGCAGGGAGCCCAACGTGGAGCTCTATCCCAAGACCCTGGGATCATGACCTGAGCCAAAGGCAGAAGCTTAACAACTGAGCCACCCAGGTGCCCCAAGTTAAGTTCTCTTTTTTTGAAGAGAAGTACTACTGTGAAAACTTGTTTTTTTTATTACTTAGCAAGTGCTAACTTTCTTTTTGTCTTTGAATCTTGTTTTTTTTTAATTACTTAGCAAGTGCTAACTTTCTTTTTGTCTTTGAATAACAAAAATAAACAGCCATATTTATTTGTTCTGATAGATTTAGTTTTTTCCCTAAAGTTTATGAAATTAAATCATTCATTTGTAATTTTTTACTTGTATATAGTCTTGCATTGTCTTTTTTAAGACTTTCACACACCCTTATTGTGATAATTCTGAGTTTTCCAATTATGAAATTTGTTTTTGAATAAAATATTGTGTTTATTTTTTTAATTTTTTTTAAAGATTTTATTTATTTATTTGAGAGAGAGAGAATGAGAGCCAGAGAGCACGAGAGGGAAGAGGGTCAGAGGGAGAAGCAGACTCCCCGCCGAGCAGGGAGCCTGATGGGGGACTCGATCCCAGGGCTCCAGGATCATGACCTGAGCCGAAGGCAGTCGCCCAACCAACTGAGCCACCCAGGTGCCCAAAATATTGTGTTTAAATACATGTTCTGGGGCGCCTGGGTGGCTCAGTCGGTTACGCTGCTGTCTTTGGCTCAGGTCATGATCCTGGGGTCCTGGGATCGAGCCCCATGTTGGACTCCCTGCTCAGCGGAGAGCCTACCTCTGCCTGCCTATCTGCCTACTTGTGCTCACTCTCTCTCTGTCAAATAAAATCTTTAAAAAAACAAATAAATAAATAATGTTCTACCTATATGTAAGCCCTTATTAGGAGGGGTTAAAAGGAATTCTGCAGAATTTTATACACCCTGAATTGTATAATAATAATAGTTGCACTTATATGAATTTTCTGTTTGCCAGATGTTGCTAATTCCCTTATGTACATTATTGTATTTAAGTTTCACAAAAATCCTAGACAGCCCCTACTTTTTACACATAACATACTCCTTAAAACATGTAGAAAAGTCTAATGCAGGGGGGTAGCAGGGGGCGGCGCCTGGGTGGTTCAGTTGGTTAAGTGTCTGCCTTTGGCTCAGGTCATGGTCCTGGGGTCCTGGGGTCCTGGGATTGAGTCCTGTGTGGGGCTAACTGCTCAGTGGGGAGTCTGCTTCTCCCTCTGCCCCTCCCACTGCTCTTGCTCTCTCTCAAATAAATAAATAAAATCTTTTTAAAAAAAAAGTCTGATGTGGGATTCCATATCCAGAGAGCTAAAAAATAATTATAATATTCTAGATTACATTTCAGCTTTTAGAAATAGACTGTAATGAATATTTCCAGCATTTTATATGTGTCTTTCAGCATTTTCTCTTAAACACACAGTGCAGATAACTTCAGTCTAGTCCGGTGACTAGACAAACGATGATACCTGTATTTATTGTTGTTGCATTTGTATTAAATTTGTTAGTCTTTGTTGCTAGTATTAGAATTGTAATTCTTCCCTTTTGATAAAGACAAAGGTCAATAAAATACTTACTGAATTGACATTTTCTACAATAAAGTTTATGACTAAACTACTTTTTTTTTTTTTAAAGATTTTACTTATTTATTTGACAGAGACACAGCGAGAGAAGGAACACAAGCAGGGGGAGTGGGAGAGGGAGAAGCAGGCTTCCCGCTGAGCAGAGAGCCCAACATGGGGCTCAATCCCAGGACCCCAGGATCATGACCTGAGCCAAAGGCAGCCGCTTAACGACTGAGCCACCCAGGCGTCCATGACTAAACTACTTCTGTCTAGCAGACTATAGCATAGTGTTAGCTCCAAGTATTCTCTCAGCTAATGAAAATTTTTTAATTTTGAATTAAAGGGCAGTTTGGGGTGACAGTACATATTATACAGGTGTTTCTGCTGTAATGACATATACACGTTATTGGAAATCCTGACATTCTGCAGGATAATACACTAAAATAACAGGGTTTGTGAAGAAAAAGTACACACCACTCAAAACAAGACATGTGGAAGTCTCCAGCTTTTTTATCTGCACTGACAGCTTTCCAGATTGCTTGATGTCGTGAAAAATGCAGGGATACTTGAAGCCACTAACCCTCAGCTTCTTAAACCAAAGGAACTACTGGGGAATTTTCAGGTTTTGTCATTAAGGTCTTTACATATGGCTGAGGCCTTTGTAATTGTAGAAAGACCACTTCTGATCTCGCTAAACCTTTAACATGCTGGGAAAAAACTGCATAGGATATAACATCTTTCCCCTATTCACCAATTGCACATAAGCTAATTCACATTAAACATTCTTCATAGAAGAGACAGCTCTTGACCCATCTGTATTATTTACGAGATGAGGAAACAGACTCAGGAAGGTGAAATAACTTGCCCAAGGTCACACAGGTAGTCAGTGCCAGAATCAACATTTGAATACAGATTTCAGACAGGGCAACCTCCCTT